TATTGAATACCTTTAGTTACTTCACAGATGTGGATGAATGATGTGAAATATAATCAAGTGTTAAATCAGACTTTAGTTCCACCTGGAGTAAATCCACCAGCTACCCTGCAGTATACAAAGTCATTCAAACTAGCTGCACCTTTACCAGCTTTGAGAACACTTTCATGATCAATCATTATAAAACATATCATATCTATTATTCTGAAATGGACCAATCTGCACAATGACTACTTTTACTGTCTCTACTTTCACTAGATTTTGATGATAATACTTTTCTACTTTCACTTGAGGAACATTTGGAATGCAGGACTTTTACTGTAACAGAGTATTCCTACACTCTGGTACTTCTACTTTTACTCAAGTACAAGACCTGAGTACTTCTACTTTTACTCAAGTACAAGATCTGAGTACTTCTACTTTTACTCAAGTACAAGACCTGAGTAGGCTACTTCTACTTTTACTCAAGTACACGATCTGAGTACTTCAACTTTTATTCAAGTACAATATCTGAGAACTTCTACTTTTACTCAAGTACAAGACCTGAGTACTTTTTCCACCTCTGTTAAAGTAAGTATCTCAAAATTGTACTTAAGTACAGTACTTGAGTACATGTATTCAGTTACTTTAAACCACTGTAATTTAAAGTACCTAGTTACTCAGTTTCCACCAGTGATAGAATATGAAGCAGGAGTGTGAATAAAAGAAAGGAAAGACACCAAAGGCAGGATGTGATATATTATGTTCCTGAATGCAGAAACCTCTCACCTGTCTCAGCATCGTAAAACTCCTCCTCGCTGTTCATCCTGACAGTAAATCAGTCACCTGTTTCTGCAGCTCCGAGCATCACATCCGGCCAGAAACACCTGCAACAGCAGCGACCCGTTACACACAAGCAGAGGCAGCAAAACACCAGCAAATGCATGTTAAGAAACTAACAAAAAGCAGCTGTGTGGCTCCTTGTCAGCAGCTTTGCTAACCAAAACAAAACCAGCTAGCTGCTAGCTCGGATTAGCTAACCAGCCGTTAGCATAGCTGTTGCTAAGCTAAATTAAACATGTAGCTGGAGGAAGTGCGGCAAACAAAGCTAACAATATACACATAGATACTGTAGAGAAGATTTGAACATCGCTTGATTTAATATACCTGTGAATAAAGGTCAAATTATTGCTCAATCGAAGAGTAAACTCAATCGAAGAGTAAACTGTGTCTGACAGAGCGGAAGTGGGCGGGAAGGACACTGTGATTGACAGATCCAGCAGCCAATCAGCACGTCCTCTCCGCCCACTTCCGGCCTGTCTTGTTCTCAATTGTTTATGCCACTGAATCAAATGAAAAAAAGTTCTAAAAATAGATGTTTTTAAATCAGATTCAAGAATATGACCTTAAATCAGATGTACAAACAACTTAAATACAGGCTGAGGATTCCTGACAATAGGGTGTATTATTAGCTTTGGATCAGTTTTCTGTCCTATAAACTAGCTTCATGTGCATGGTCTCGCACACTAAATATAATTAATATCCCACTTTTACATTGTGTTGGCTCTAATTTAACCATCTATAGAGTTGTATTCGTCAGATAATTTACATATGTTTACTCTTTTACTTTTAGTTGTTTTATTTTTTCTATTTTGAGATGTTTATATTGTATAATTGTTTATTTTCTACTCTTGCTACTAACTGCAGTATTTTTGAATTTTTTAGAACATTTTAATTATCCAGAATGTTTATACTGTTGTTAATATAATATTTTTCATTTTATTTGTACTTTGAATTGTTTGTTGTTAATTCTCTGTTCCACTTTTTAACTATTTTTAATTTTATGTCTGAACACACTGATGTAACAAAATATTTCCCAGATTGGGATCAATGAAATACAAGAAGTGGCTCAGTCAGTAGGGGCTTGGGAGGGAGCCGTAGGGTCGCCGGTTCAAGTCCCCGACCAGACCTAAGTATGGAGTGTGGACTTCTACTTGGAGAGGTCCCTGTTCACCTCCTGGGCTGCTGTGGTGCCCTTGAGCAAGGCACCGGACACCCCCCTCCCCACTCCCATTGCTCCCCGGGCGCTGTACAATAGCTGCCCACTGCTCCTAGTACTAGACTCCTGGTACTAGAATGGGTTAAAAGCAGAGAACACATTTCACTGTGCTCTGCATGTGTGACCATTAAAGAGGGTTTTGTATTTAGCTGTAGTTCCATTATTAATCCACAAGGTGGCAGCTCCGGACCTTTTAACAATGACCCCTTACTTACATGAGTCAATATTTAGGGATTAAGTTGTAACATTATAAATATGCTTGGAATATAGAAAACATTATTCAATTTTAAGTTACCATAGATGTCAACCTGTTGGTTTCTGTTGAAATTGGTCCAGTTCTAGAAAACGAAATGAAAATAATGTGTTATTTTCTTCTTCTTATCGATTAAAAGAAACAGTTTGGACCAAAGAAGAATAGTGTGGGAAATGTGGTTTAATGTGAAAACAATAAAGAAGTTAGACAACGTCATCCAGGGTGAATGACAGAGTTTTATTTTGGAATTGGGGACCGGAAGTCATTAAAAAGCTAGGTTACTCCCACACTGCCGGTGACTCTCTGCGCATTTTGGGAAAGTTTTAGTCTTCAGGATGGAGAGCAACCAGTCGGATGTCTCTCAGCCACGATTAAGCCTCTGATTTAACACATTGTATAGAACTGTGGAACCGTAATGATCTTTTTTCACTGAATAACCTAAAATAAGAAGTAGAACAAGTCGTGATGTCTGCGCTCCGGAGTCAGAAACAACCCAAGGCGCAGCAGCCGGTTTACGCGCAGAGGAAGAAGAAAGATTATTCCAGAGAAGCTCACAGTGGCTCTCAGGAGGGGAAAGAGGGGAAAGCACCGGGGAAAGGACCAGGGAAAGAGGGGAAAGAGTCCTCGTGTTCCCCCACAGAGAGGAAGCTGTCCGACGCCTCCAACACCTCGGAGGATCTGAGCAAAGACTCCGGCTGTGCGTCCGGGAAACTCTCCTCCTCTTCGGACAGCAGCTCTGAGATCTCGGATTCTTGCCCCTCGGAGGGAAACAGTAAAGAGTCTCCCAGCAGGGATTTAAGCTGGATCGACAGAGGAGCTTATCTGTGGAGGAGTGATGGGAACCCGTGCGTAAAGGGAGACTCCCAGCCGCTCAGCATGCTCCAATCGCCGGGCGGTTTTATGGATCTCATGATGGGGGAGACCACCGAGGATCTGGTGCGCGAGGTGGAGGATTTGAGATCAGAGAACGAGTATTTGAAGGTGAGTTTGATTTAAGGTGTTTATTCTGTTAGCGTAAATATAAGTGGGAGAAGTATTTAGAGTTTTGACTTAAATGGAGAATGATTACTACTTACATACTTCATATGCATCAGCAGGGTTAAAGGACATGAGCAACAACCTTTTAACAATAGGAGAAAAGTTGGATACAAAATAAATATATTGAATCAAATCAGTCAGAAAGGGATGCAAAATGAGACCCAAAACAAGTCAACAGATGGACACAAAACAGAACTCATAGAGACTAGAAAGAATGAGCCTCAAGTTAAGAAGAAAATGAAACTATAAACTCCCACAAAACAGACACAAGAAATTAGATCTAATTTCCAAAAGGGAAGCGAAATGAGACACACCAAACCCAATTGGGATGCCGAATGAGATATGAAACATGACACAAAATGACCGGAAAAAAGGACACCAAACGGACACAAAATGAGACGATGAACTACGAGCACAAAGGCATGCAAAACAACAAGAAAGGTAAGCGAAATGTGGCGCAAACAAGATGCAAAAGAAATGCAAACGGACACAAAGAAATGAGATCAATTTTAAAAAAAAAAGGACGCAAAATGAGACACAAAGTCCCCAAATTAGGAAGTACATTAGGATACAGAACAGGACAACGAATGGCCACAAAATTAGACGAAAATTGAGAAGAAAGTGAAACAATTAACGACCACAAATGCAAAACAAAAAGCAAGGAAAGCAAAATGTGACACTAAAGGAGACACCAAACAAATTCAAATCAGACGCAAAGAAAGTAGATCACATTTCGAAAGAGGGATGCAAAATGAGACGCAACACTTCCTCTATTATGAGTCCATTGGTCTTTGAATGAAGAATCCAGTTACCACAAAGGGATGCAAAACAATAAGCAAGCCAGTCTCACGGCATTTCGTGTTAGGCACAAAATTAATCTAATCTATTGATTCGTGTTCACCAACACGATTTTTACATTTTTGTCACACAGAACGATTTTAAAAGCAATAGGCGCTTTAGTTCCGATAATGCCTGGAATTTTGCGTTCACACCAAAAAGAGAACTTAGTTCAGAGAAGTTTTACCCCCATTTGTAGTGCCTGCTAGAGAGGTGGGACTATCCTGGGGAGAAAAAAGTACCAATTTCGATTGGCTGGGCGAATTGCAAACCACGGCCCGTAAAACTCTGAAAAGTTTTGTGAAGCAGCCATTTTATTAGCTGGCATTAGCATTATTAGCATTAGCATTAGCCCCGCTCACCAACGGAGAGAGACTAATTTATGGCAACACAAAAGAAAACATGGGAGCGGTGGAGATGAGGAGGTGTCGGCGTTCTGGCGATTTGCTCGGAAGGCTTCAGTAGAAGCCAGTCCCCAACTCCGGGGACTTCCGGCCGCGGCCGAGGACTTCGGGTGGCAGTATACGCCGTGAAGTGGTTTGCGGCCTGCCAATAAACCCAAAGCAGAAGAAGAAGAAGTGACGTCAGCGGCTTCATTTGCCTAATCCTCCCTCAGGAATTTATTCCGGTGTGAACAAGATCGGCTCTTAGTTCCATGGGGGGACTATGCTGGGAACTAAGTAAGGCAAAGTACTTGGTGTGAAAGCGGATAATGCATTTCTATTGGTAGTATGTTTCACCACGTCTTTTTGTCCAGTCGGGTCTTGGAAGACCGGAAGCTGTGTGGTTCATAAAAACATGTTCTTACTCACTATCTCACCCTAACCCTATCCCTTTAATTTTAAATTGTATAATGTCTGAGTTTTGTTGCCGTCCGCGAGGGAAATAAATGGGGCTCAGAGCCTCAGAATACTGACATCTGTATTTGTTTAATCTGTTTTTCCTTCTAATTTGTTATTATTTACATTGCTTTTAAAATCGTTCTGTGTGAAAATGGGGAATTCGTGTTGGTGAACACGAATCAATAGATTAATTTCGTGACTATAACACGAAATGCCGTGAGACTGGGTTGAAGCAAGGTAAGCAACATTTGACTCAAAACAAGACATCGAACAAATTAAAAACGGACTCAAAGAAAGTAGATCAAATTTCAAAAAGAGGGATGCAAAATGAGACGCAAAAAATAACCACAAGGATGCAAAGCTTCCTTTATTTTGAGTCCATTGGGCCGCATTATGTATCTAATATTCCATATTACATTTATATAGACGCTCCTTGCACTATTTCTATTTGATTTGATTTGTATTTACCTGTTTGATCTGTTTTATTGTGTTGCTCTGTTGGAGGAGCCTGTGACCTAAGATTCATATCTACACTGTAGCTATGCACACAGGACAATAAAAGCCTTGAACTTTCCTCTTTCTCCCTCAGGTCTTGTGTGCAGTACTGAAAGTTGTTGTATTGTTGTTGTTGTGTTGCAGGATGAGGTGGAGGAGTTGCGCTGTGAGATGCTGGAGATGCGCGACCTGTTCCAGGAGGAGGAGGTTTACCAGCTGCAGAACCTGAAGCTGCAGCTGGACCAAACCAACAAAACCTGCCGCGTCCTGCAGTACCGGCTCCGCAAGGCCGAGCGCCGCAGCCTCAGAGTGGCCCAGAGCGGGGGGGCGGACGGGGAGCTGGTGCGCAGCCTGGAGCACGACAACAAGGTCAGAGGTCATTCGTTTATCCTCTGCAAAGGACTTAGGGATTTACTCAAGTAGAAGTACAGATACTCGTGTTTAAAAATACTCTGGTGAAAGTAGAAGTACTGACTAAACTTCTTTACTCAAGTCAAAGTAAAGAGGCTTTGAAATGTACTTCAGTAAAAAGTACCCATAACTAGCAGCTGTTTTAAAGAGTACCTGACCTCCCTTTATATTAATAAAACAATAATGTCATTGTTAGCTAATGAATGTTTCCATGGTGACCAACGGCAACATGACAACGTTTCCATTGGTCCCTCTTCTTTAGAGAAGAGCAGGAAATGATGGATACACGGATCGTGTTCAAATCAATAGGCACGCAATGACTCTAAATAATAATGATCACGCCACCAAACACACATTCAGACTAAAGGAACCAGCCTGTTTGGAAAATGAGAGAAGTAGAAAGTACAGGTATTTGTGTTCAACATGTAAGAAGTAGAAAGTACAGGTATTTGAGTTCAACATGTAAGAAGTAGAAAGTACAGGTATCTGTGTTCAACATGTAAGAAGTA